TTTCAAATCTTGAACAACTTACGCAAAGACCCAGCTGTTCTGATCAGGTCAAAGTTGAAGGCACAGTTCACCTTAACTGTACGGACACAATCGAGCGTGCTGTTTATCCCTGCCGTGTACTTATTTAATATGTTTTCTCGAGTTCACGTCAAATATCCGAATTTTCAGCACTACAAAGTCGTATTCACAGGACATTCTCTTGGAGGGGCACTTGCTGCTCTTTCTGCTGCGCGAACTGCACAAACCGGCAAGTGATCCATTCTTTCCGCTCCTCTCTCTGATGCGTGTTGGAAGCTCGCGGACAATACTGAGCTTTACAGTAATGTCTGCGAGTTCAGCACGGCCATAATGACTTCACCAAGCAGTGGTGACGTTATACTTTCATCTAGAGTCTATTGCTGCAGTTGAATTGTCTGAATGACTTTTTTGACTGGGCTATGGGGGGAGGTAAATTATCACTTTCTGCAAGGCATGTCTTCGCCTCGGCAGGCATCGAACTCGTGGCCTTTTGAGAGTGGGTGCGAACATGAGCCCACACTCTTGACCACTCGGCTATCCCTGCCTTGCACCAATAGTTGTACCTCTCCAAAGATGCCGGCGTTGAAGCTGGCGATCGGTGGACTGTACCCTTTCGTAAAAATTCCCTTCCCTCATAAAAACATCGTGGTCCATATTGATATGAATAGCGTAATAGCCTGAGCACCGTTCTGACATTGCAATAACACTCGATCGCGCCGTAGGGCGGTGGGTAACGTTGCATCAAGCGCGCGTCGAACGTTGCGAAAGGCGCAACAACGCCGTCTGATTTAGACTATGGACGCAGTATTTTCCTGTCTGCGGGCTATTTCGCAGACCGCGAATAAACTGCTTGCGCGGTTGCTTCGCCACTTGCTGTAAGAGTATGGAGGTGGGTGGGGAGGCGGGGATCGAAATTTATGTTATCTGTTACTGTTTCTATCCGACGTCTCACGGTGACTGGTACCGAACACTGGCATGCTGGCGGCTACCGTTCACGCTCTATAGCTTTGGAGCATTGCTATAAGTAGTGCGTCACACGTTACACCGTGTTACAGCGCGTCGACACGCATTATCGCGAAGTCTGAACGTCGCCTTTTCGCAGAAGAATTGCAAAGACATCATATCCAGAAACGCAAGGCGCTGTGCTGCTAGGGCTCAAAAAATCCCATAACACCAGATTATTCAAATTGTATGACTACTTTTCAATGTTATTCCCACATCAGCGTGTCTGTACATTTTTTTGGCTTCCGCAACGGCGCCAAGCAGTTTTGTTCTATTGTTAGCTGGATATTTCAGGTTTGCGATCAGGTAAAGACATCACCGTATACACGTTCGGCGAACCTCGAGTCGGAGACTATACATTTGCCAAGAAATTCAACTCTATGATTTCTGAGAGGTGAGGAGTGGTTGCAGCCAAGTGCCGTGAAATTTACAGTGTCGATCGTTTGCACCTCGGTTCTCGGAATGCTAACGAATTTCCCGGTCCCTTCTTGACTCCTACAGCGCCATTTTTTGCTGCACGCCGGTTTGCACTCGCCGATTGGAACGCTCTACCCCATTGAGCACACGCCTTTATTACGGAGAAATTATGGCTTGATTTAGTGGATCAGTTTTCAAATGGAAGCGTGGAAAATGAACGAGCCTCTATATTTTCAGCTACCGTGTTGTGCACTCAAAAGACATCGTGCCGCATACACCCTTCTGCATTCCCGCAAACCTGGAGAGTCTCGAATGCCGCGAGTCTCCAGATGGACCATTCCACCACGGAACGGAGATATTGGTGAGTTACAATGGACGTTACAGTGCAGTTCTCAGCGGACGGTGGGGCGGTCCTAAGGCCACGCTGGCTAGCGGCCCGATATTTGCCTGTTGGTCGAAAGCCGCAATAACCTTGCCCCTGCGTCTCTGACACTGACTCTGCGCTCTAACGCACGCCGCCGCACAATCTACCCACTCTCCCGCTCTGGGCTCTGCCGATCGATAATAGCTCCAGCTGATTTTACGGCACTTTCGCAGTATTTTTTTCTACATTCAGCTAAAAAAGCTGCGAATTTTCGACTTTCGGCTTTAACCGTCAAAGGTGAGTATTTTTACTAAAATTGTATCACAATTTGCACGAATTTAGCTTGAAATTCCCTTAGAAAACATTTTTTCTTCTGATTTTTGCAATTCGTCCAAACTTTTCCTTATCGTCCCCAGTTTTTTTATGTTATTGACCGGCTTTTCGAAGTAGAGTCTCAGATGTGATCTCGTTATTATCGAGAACCATCTTTGACTCTGTTTTGAAGCTCGGAGAGCGCACACTTGCTACATAATTCACTCCAACATTACCAAAAGCGGCTCACTATTAGACAATGAGAACAAGACGCAGATTCGAGGACAGAATCCAAAAGGAAGAGAAATAAAAAAATAGTCAGCAGAGACTCACAAAATTTCAGGAGATATGGGAAAAGGGGACCATTAAGGCGACTCCGAGCTTCAAAACAGAGTCAAAGATGGTTCTCGATAATAACGAGATCACATCTGAGACTCTACTTTGAAAACCGGTCAATAACATAAAAGAACTGGGGACGATAAGGAAAAGTTTGGACGAATTGCAAAAATCAGAAGAAAAAAAATGTTTTCTAAGGGAATTTCAAGCTAAATTCGTGCAAATTGTGATACAATTTTAGTAAAAATACTCACCTTTGACGGTTGAAGCCGAAAGTCGGAAATTCGCAGCTTTTTTAGCAGAATATGGCAGGAATTCGGAGAAAATGCGTCGGGGATCAGCTGATGGACAGCGTCAGCCATTATCGATCGGCGAGAGTGCAGGACGGAAGAGTGAGTAGAGGGCGCGGTTGGGTGTGTTAGAGCGCAGAGTCAGTGTCAGAGACGGAGGGGCAATGGTGATAATTTCCTGAAATTTCGCGGCTTTCCATCGCCACGCCATCAGCGGAGCGCTCGCCGGCGTGGTCGTAGGGAACGCCCCACCGTCCGGTGAGCACTCCACTGTAATCGCAATGCCGAGAGATCACAGCTGCTTCGTTCTCCTTCAAACGCCACCATCTGGTTCGTGTTCAGGTCCACAATCGCTCTATCTGTTTACGACATGGCGGTGCTTATCTTCAGCTTACAGGATAAGCGGCGCTGGGTGTTCGCGAGGCTACTGTTCTCATGCGCGCACGGTCTTTGCGGTCTCACTGTGACAGAGTCCTTGATCGCAATGCCCTTGACAAGAACAAAGCCTCTATTTGTTCCTAGTGCATATCCCGCTGTAAAAGGTAATCAGGTGGGAGTCGCGTTTACGGAACTTCGTGTTCACGATGGCGAGATTATGGGCTTCTGCGTATTCCAGTATGCGTTCGCCATCGACGTTACGTGTTCCATAAGCGAAGGTATACAACTTAACGCTCTATACGTATCGCCCGCCTACGGGCCGCTTTAAGCGTCAACAGCGACAATATACGACAGCTCTAGACGGTTTGCCTACAGCTAGTGTTCTCCTCTAGGCAAAGTCCAGAACCTCGTCCATTTGCATTGTTCAGTGATCCCGATCTGTGGAGAATATGCGAAAGAAATGGTACAAGTCGTCGACAGCTAGAACAATCTTCATCAAACGATCGTCGAAACGTTCCACGCTAGCTATCGAGTCACGGAAACGTTGAGAGACGATTATGGCCACTCCGTTAGTAGTCCTTGGCTTGCCACAAAGAACGGCTTTGAAGCCGCGACCGATGTCTCTCGACTTGCAACTGGACCATCTTGTTTCCTGCACTGCACAGAGATCGATTCGTCTGCGCTCTAGTGCCTCTGCCAATTCACATGAACGTCCGGTCAAGGTTCCCACGTTCAACGTTGCAATACGGACTTTACACGCTACACTGCCTGAAATTTGGACTAGCCTGGTCGCCCCCCGATGCCGTCCTTGCACCGAGGACCCTCGCATACTTTCCACACTCGCCGGGCCATACGAGTGCGCGTCGGCTCCCGCGGACGCCGTAGCATTATCTCGATATACATATGGCATGATCAAACATGATTGATGTGACATGGGTGTTCGTAGGCCGGCCCGTCACGGAGGCCTGTCACCTGCATTCGTGTGTCTGCGTTTAGCAACTCGCAAAGCGAGCTCCCAGTGGCACCGCGGGGAGGAGCAGACGTCACCACCGTTCTTCTTCAAAATACAATTGGGACTATAAAGTCTTGCTCGCTGCCGATGCTGGAGAACGTATAGCGGGGGGGGGGGGAGGGCTGGGTTTGGCGCGACGTCAGCCCTTTCTCCATGGATGTTTCAAGGAGGCAAGCGATAACCACTGGTGGAAACGGGCTGGCGGTGCGCCAAACCCGTCCTCTAATACGCCTCAGCATGCGCAACGGAAAAGACTGTACATTAATTCGCAAGGTTCAGCCGATGTACCAACCAATGTGTTTTAACTTCCCACATAATTCTGGTATTAATTGACCGATTCTAGAGTAAGGGAATGACTAGCTGACTCAGACGGCAGTCAATCCGGGATTTGATCCACAGATAGTGCGCGTCTTAGTTGGCCCCCCCTTGATACCCCATCACTTCGCCTATTCGAATACTTGAAGGCAAGTGGTACGATAAATCCCCATGACATGTACGATTGATACACTTAGCATGAGAGAATTCGCGCTCCTGCGTAGGCGCTGTGTAACGCCTTTTCCAAGAAGGGTACCCTCATAGCGCCCTATCAAGCTGCAACATGTCGAGACGCCTACCACACCTGCCCGCTCACGTGTCCGACCGATGCTGAAGCTCGTGTCGCTTCATTTGCGAAGTTATGTAATACACTGGTGTGCAAAACTTAGGGACGAGATGGATAAAGTAACATAAAACACTAATGACTGGGTGGAAGTAAATGAAAGTGTGGGAGCATGTTGCCACTCGCCTAAGGGATATGCACAGGAAGCTAGACTTTTCTCGGTGGAAGAAGAGCTTGAATAAAGTGCCAAATATGGCCGACCGCGCAAATCGAGGCAGTCTATGGGTATGAAAAAAATTTTTTCTCAATCAACGAGTAGCTGCAAAGAACTGTGGTAGTATCCTTCGATACATCATGTCCCGAAGAGAGCATCTGGATGACTTCACTCGAGGAAGGATCATAGGGAAACTCGAAGAAGGTCGAACCATGACGAGTGTAGCCCAGGAGTTCGGTATCGCTCACAGCGTTGTTTCACGTGCATGGAGAGCGTTCCGAACCTTTGGTACTGCTGCCCGAAGACGAGGAGGTGGCCGACCAAGGACAACTACACCAAGGGACGACCGCTACATTGTGCAGCAGGCAAGAAGAGATCCTCGTCAGTCGGCTTCGGCTATTGCAACGACGTTTAACAGGACTCTAGGGCAAGCCATCTCACGCACTACAGTGGCAAGACGACTGCATGGTGGTGGTCTCTTCGCCCGACGACCGTTACGTTGTGTTCCTTTGACCCCCGCGCATCGGCGAGACCGTTTACGGTGGTGCCAGGAGCATGGCGAATGGACCGATGAGGAATGGAGCCGTGTGCTCTTTTCGGATGAGAGCAGGTTCAGTCTGAGCAGTGATTCTGGACGCACCCTCATATGGCGAGAGGTGGGAACACGCAACTCCCCCGGAAACATTGTCGAACGTGATCGTACTGGTGGTCGAGGTGTTATGGTATGGGGAGGCATCATGTTGCATGGCCGTACTGACCTCCAGATTTTTGAGCATGGAACCCTCACCAGTCAGCGTTAGGTTCTCCTACATCATGTCCGTCTTTTCAGAGCTGCAATCGGCCCTGACTTCATTTTCATGGATGACAATGCGCGACCGCATCGAACAGCACAGGTGGAGGAGCTTCTAGAACGAGAGGATATCCGGCGAATGGAGTGGCCCGCCCGTTCCCCCGACCTAAATCCCATCGAGCACGTGTGGGATGCACTGGGTAGACGCATTGCAGCACGACCAAATGCACCAATGACGATCCAGCAATTGTCAAATGCACTGATTGAGGAGTGGAATGCCCTGCCCCAGGAACTCATTACCAACCTCGTGGAGAGTATGGGATCGCGGTGCAGAGCATGCTGTCCGTGGTGATCACACACCCTATTAGGATCCGTGTAACTTCTTTTGTAGTACCAGGATAAATCGTGAAGACTTATGTGTAATCGACATGGTTGAATAAAAATGTCATAACAATTCGTCTTATTCCGAGTTTCTGTCAGTTGCTTTCTGTACAATATCGTTAAGGTTCTCTCTTGATATGATATGAATTTCATCGAGCTATGTTGTCTGGCAGAGGCACAGTGATCGAAAGTTGCTTTCGTCCCTAAGTTTTGCACACCAGTGTATGAAGCAAAGGGACTGGTATGAAGCAGCTGCGGTGCTGCATGGATATGTGAGTACATAAATGCAGCCATATCTACCGTGGCGGTTAAGGTACGATGCCAACAGGGAACTCGTCCTAAAATGCTTCTGGGCCGTAGACGTAGAGAGAGGCTTTCTCTGCAGATTTTTGGTCGCTTCACTTTGCTTTTTCGCCATTTTCCCGGCGCCATTCTTTCGTACAGATGCGGCTGTGTGCCATTGCGTACACTGCGGGGCTACAGTAACCTTACGCCCAGTTTTATTCAATGTCGAGGAGAGACTTCGTGGAAGATGCGTCTATATTCGAGCGGAGGGGGATACAGATTTTCAGATAGCTTCCCCTTCGTCACCATTCCCCAACAGGTCAAAGCACAAAGGGCCACGATAGCGGACTCTATGTGTTATTCTGTTAATATATGTGAAAAGATAGCGGTTATGTGATAATACGTGTACATACTGCGATTGCGCCATAGTCCATGTTTGATTGCAGCTGCTTATTTTTGTGGAGCAGACTGGAATAAGAGAGCTCTTCATGATACAGCAAATGACATAACCTCGACAAAAATTTTCGAGTTACGAAAGTCAGGGGCGCAAACAATGAGAAGCCCTGCAAGTCTGCCGAGGGGACTGGTCACCATCACACGGAAACGGTGTATCTCTTCTTGGGAACGGTAAACATGTCCTGTAAAGTTACTGTGGTTTTTTACTACCGTTCTGCTCGACTCACTTCCTAGACCAGCGATTTGACGAGTGCCAGACTTTTATGATTTCGGCGAGAGGCGAAAGCGTGCGGCTTTATAAATCGGAGTTTGCCACGCTCCCCAAACAATATGGAGCGTGGAGAAACCGTGGGAGCATCCTTGGGTTGGGAGTACTGAATGTATACTCACTCATAACTCTATGGTTTACTACATTTTATGTAACTTTTTTCAAGGGGACCTCTGTAGAGGGACCACTGTTATGCTTGGAAGAATTAGTTTACTAAGATTTTACTTGCTTCCCTTATTTTTTTACTTCGTAATGCGTTTGATCCCTTCATGCGTATGTGAATTACGCGAATTTGGAGAAACCATGGGAGTACTTTATGCGTATGTAAATTAGAGGTTTTCGGTCGATGATATCGCTTCCTTCCTCGAAAATGCCCACGAGGCTACTGCACAGGAAGAGTCTAGGACTAAAAGATACTCATAGATGTCACACTTTAATATAATCACCAAAACTCAATAAGGTGCTACGTCCCCAACGAATAATGGAACTAGGTGCGAGGTTACTGTAGCAGTTCGCAACGGCACACAGCCGCATCTGTACGAAAGAATGGCGCCCATTTTCCCCCACTGTACAGTACCCCTGCTCCATTTCAGACCAAGTCCCAAATTATCGTGCATTATGCTTTGAAGAGTTCGTAGTTCGACTGCATAACATGTAGCTCTTGGACATACTATCAGCACCTTTCCCGTCACTGGTTTCCACCATGCTCTCGTGTTTAGGCAAGGGATAATGGGAACCCTGCACATATCCCATTTTGTTCTCGACTCTTAATGTGCTTCCATTTCAACCCTCATTCGTTTCATGCCCATTCATGGGTGATGACATGTTTTCTTGATTGGTCGTTGGAACGTTCGTTGACCGAATTGGCATGCGACCAAAGTGGCAAATCAGCCAACGAACACGCTATAGCGCAGAGTTCGAAGATTGCTGCTGAAGAATTGTGATGCATCCCCTTTGCTCATTGGCATGCTGTTTGTTTGTATAATGTGTGCTATCGACTATTCCAGGAAACAAACTGAATAGAAAGCGACTCTGAGAAGTTCCATGAAGATGATCCAAAAGTCTCAATGCGGCCTGCGCTTCGGAGTCCCTAGTGAATTCCAACTTGTGAAACTTTTCAGAACCTCTAGAAACCTCCAGTTTTCCCGAAGAAGCTAACCAGAGACTGCTTTCAACTTCTGAACTTGAGTGACGATCTAAGCACATCAGTGGAGTTTGGAATGCTGGTTACGAATTTGGAAACCAGATGTGATACCTGATTCTTTTCAGAAGGAGATACAAATGGTTCAAGTTGCCTGGTTTGTAGAGAATTCGTCGTCCGGTCAGGACACATCATTGGTTGGGATTTTGGTCGAGTCCGTACGACAGCCGCCCTCTGGTTCCCTCCTCTTCGCACTCGAACATACGACCCCTCTCTCTACCATTTATCCATTTCTTAGACATCTCCCCAACTTCCTACATTTTTTTCGAATTTCCTGAAAATTTTCCTGCTCGTACCCAAAAATTTTGCTGTCGAGCTTAAGGAGTAAGGTATATAGTACACCACATGAAACAGGAAAGACCACGAAAAGTAGGCAACCCCTCTCAGAAGATGAGAAAGGGAAATACCCCCCCCCCTCCCAACAATGAAGCAAATAGGACCCCCTTTCACAAAGTCCCCGAAACAAGAAAAAACAACTGTTCAGAAGGAAATTTTTCTCAGACGACTCCTCCTCCTCTACAAATACGGCCTCTTCTCTGCTAGGGAATCCCCAACAGCGAGCCGCTGCCGTCGCACAGTATGAACGCTGCCTAATTCTCCTTGCCGTGTTAATGACGGATAAGATCCCTTCGAACCGTTTCAAATCATCGACCGCAACGATTTCGTCGAAACGTCAGACAACTATAGGGCCCCCTCATTATGTGTTCACCTTGTGGGGCACGGAAATGACATGCTCAAAAAAACGAATTCCAAGAAACTAAAAAAAGGCTAAGGTAAAAAAGCCGACACGAAGGCGCCTAGTCTAGTGTTACCAATATTCCATAGATCTCACACAAGAAAAGCCTCAGACAGTTCTCACGAAAGCCGGCGGACCCCTTTCAAGATTCATTCGCCGGTATGTATACATTTTCCGTA